TTAGGGGACAGATGGAACCCATTCTTACTGTACAAAGATACCTTATGTCTTTTTAATTTTCTATAAATAAGTTTGTCTTTCATTTCTTTATATGCAGGTTATAAAAAACCACATAGCTCTCTCTACTTTCTCTCTCTACTGTAAATCTTTCTTAGTTTGTAAAGTGTTCAGTCTACCGGAGTTCAGCCGGAAGTAAATAAATTGTGGATAGTTCTCTTATAGGCCCTGGTGTTGGCCATAGTTACAAGGTACTTTAATTCTTCCTTCTGTTATCTTTTATCTTTCTCCGATCTAGAGTCGTGACTATGTCCGATCAAAAGATTCATATCTATGTCGGATATCTAACTTCACTTTTATATCTACCATGAAAGATCTAGACTTTATCTAAATATGAATAAATTTATATATGGTTTCTTGACTTGGTTCCAAGATGGTGGTACATTCAAATTTGATGCAATATGTTATTGGCTTTGTCTTAGTGACTCCGTCTAGCCAGTCGTGGTCCAAAGCCCATTAATGAGTTGAAAAAGGGCGCTCTATATCCGGTTAGAACTGCTAGACACATGGGCTCAATAACAATACGTATTTGAATCTTGATAGACCCTTTGCTCGGATAAAAAGGACTAGATCCTTCCATACAACCGTAAAACTATATAAAAATTTGTATATATTTCGATTCAAATTTATTCCTTGAATTCGGATGTTAACAAGCTAGATTGAAGATGACCGCGCGGACTACCGCCCGTCTTCTGAGATCCTGTAAGTTATTATTATTATTATTATTAATATTATTATTATTATTATTATTATTATTATTATTATTATTACTATTATTATTACTATTACTATTACTACTATTACTACTATAACTACTATTATTACTATTATTACTATTATTATTATTATTACCACTACATCCTATATCTGAAGCATTAGTTAATAACCATGGTAGGTAATGTCCAGATATCTGGATACAATATGTTATACTACTACTGTGTACAAATACAGAATGTATTAATAAGATCTCAGAAAATAATGCTAGGAAACCAGTTCAAAGGATATTCAAAGGTGGTAGTCTCCAACCTATTAATGCTAGAGACTTCAGCGATCCTGGCTCTTGCCGGTGAACCCGGACTAAAATCAATTTATTTGTCAGACATCATAAAACAAATATCATGTAATCAATCCATCTGGAAAATTCATTAAATCAGGTTATTGGCAGATTTAAAGGTGATAGTCTCCAGCCTATTAATGCTAGAGTGTTTTTTTGTGTAAAGTCATGGAATTACCTGAGTGTAATAAAGTAGCAGTGAGGAGTCCTCAACAAGTGAAGACACAGTAATAGTATAACATATTGTATCTAGATATCTGGACATTATTTGCCATAGTTCATTTAACTTTTACAAAGCATTAATGATCCAGAGATAAGAGCTGAAAGCATTAGGGTAATCCTCACAAATATCAAGAGAGAATTGATTATTTAAAATATTAATTTTTTCCTGTAATTTAGGATTTTGTAAAATAGATTAAAAACCTTCCTTGTCTTTGTCGGTGAACCCGGACTAAAATCAATTTGTTTGTCAGACATCATGATTATTATTATTATTATTATTATTATTATTATTATTATTATTATTATTATTATTCCTAATTGGTTCTTAAATTGGTGGTCATACCACGGTCCAACTACAAAGATTTTGCCGGACCCTTTTTAAAATTATACAAAAAATGGGTTAAGATTTCACCAGACCTTAATAATTTATACCACACGGATCATAAATGCCATGGTGATATCTGTTATTGTGAAAATGATGAATTTTATAAATTACAGTCTCAATTTGAAGATATGAAAATTCATACTATTAATTCTGAACTCGACACCGTATTCTTTGTCTGAAGTTAATAATAGACTTGCTAAATAACCTGTTGTTATATGTGATACTTCCTTTGATGATTTGAAAGGAGAAACTGAAAATTTAGAAAGGGAAATTAAATCTCTTAAACAAAATCAAATGATTTGTGATCATCGCCTTACTCAGATTGAGTCAGTTAATAACAAAGGAAAAAATATTGCTGAAGAAAATACTCTTGCAAAACCTTGTAATCTTGATCCCAGGCAAGGTATGTTTTTGGGAATGATGCAAATTGTTACTGCTCATAAATGGTATGTTAAATGCACCATATTAATTGATAATATTCTTTCTATAACTGATATTGCTATGATTGATAGTGGAGCGGATATTAGTTGTATTCAAGAAGGCCTTGTCCCTACTAAATATTTTGAGAAGACAACTCATATGGTTAAATCTGCGTCCGGACATGCTTTAGATATAAAGTATAAATTGCCTAATACGCGTATTTGCCAAAATAAAGTTTGCATTCCGCATTTCTTTTTCTTGGTAAAAAATCAGTTATACCCTCCAATTATACTTGGAACTCCTTTTATAAATGCTATTTACCCTTTTACCAGCATAACGGCTAAACGTTTTTCTGCTACTTACAAATACCAAGATATTAGTTATACTTTTATCACCGATCCTATTTCTCGTGATATTAATGCTTTGATTAATATGAAACAAAAACATGTTGATTCTTTGCAACTTGAAATATTTAGCATGAATATATTTGATACTTTGAAATCAACCAAATTACAAGAAAATATTAAATTGATATCTGAACAGATAGCCATTGATATTTGTGCAGATCATCCTAGTGCTTTTTGGAATCGGAAAAAGCATATTGTCACTCCTCCATATGAGATAACTTCTCTGAAGATGATATTCCTACGAAATCACGCCCTTGTCAGATGAATGCTGAATTGGTTGAATTCTGCAAGAAAGAAATAGATAGTTTATTACAAAAGGGTTTGATATAACCTTCTAAATCTCCTTGGTCTTGTAGGACATTTTATGTCAATAATGCAGGTGAAAAAGAACGTGGTGTTCCCAGGTTGGTAATAATTTATAAGCCTTCAAATAAACATTTAAAATGGATTAGGTATCCTATTCCAAATAAAAAGGATTTATTGTCAAGATTATATGACGCTAATATATTTTCAAAGTTTGATTTAAAATCAGGATACTGACAGATACAGATATTCAAAGAGCATTTTTATAGAAAAGCTTTCAACGTCCCGTTTGGACAATACGAATGGAATGTTATGCCATTTGGTTTGAAAAACACTCCTTCTGAATTTCAGAAAATTATGAATGATATTTTCAATCCATATTTGGACTTCATCATTGTCTATATTGATGATATTTTGGTTTACTCAAAAATCCTTGAAATGCATATCAAACATATAGACATTTTCAAGAAAATTGTTATACAAAACGGTTTGGTGATTTCTAAATAAAAAATGAGTTTATTTTAAACTAACGTCCGATTTTTAGAACATCTTATTTTTCAGGGGAAGGTAACTCCCATTCAACGAACAGATAGGACGCAACTGCAAAGATTCTTGGGAAGTTTAAATTATATTTCCCCCTTTTACAAAAATCTATCTCACGATTTAGCCCTTTTATATGATTGGCTCAAAAAGGATCATAAAACACCCTGGACTGAAAGTCTCACCGACTTGGTAAAAAATATTAAACTTCGTGTTAAATCATTACCTTGTCTAACTCTTGCTAATCCAGCTTGGCAGAAGATTGTAGAGACAGATGCGTTTGGCTATGTTGGAATATTGAAACAAATCAATCCTCATGATAAAAATGAATATCTGACTCATTTTCATTCCAAAAAATGGAGCGATGCTTAGAAAAAATATGCTAAGGTAGCACATGAAATGTTAACTATGGTTTAAATGCGTATTAAAATTCCAAGATGACTTATACAATCATAAGTTTTTAATAAAAACAGATGCGCAGTCGGTAAAATATATGTTTGATAAAGATTTCAAACATGATGCATCAAAACTGATATTCACCAGGTGGCAGGCACAGTTAGGCCCATTTGATTTCGAAATACATTATAAAAAGGGAAGTGATAACTCTCTTCCAGATTTCTTATCAAGAGAATATCTATCTTCATAACAATGAGTTTTCTATCTCTTTCTTTACCGATAAAACTTTAGTTACAATATGAAAAGTAGTTCCGCTCAACCGCGATGTACAAGAACTCATTATATGGAAAATCATCGATCATATGGTGATGGATATCTTCAGTATTCATAATATTGAAGAAGTCATTGATTTTGACGACAAGAATTGTTATTATCAGAATTCTTATGATCCTCTTGATTATTAAAACAAAATGTTTTGTTTGTAGGATGGACCCTCCTTGGGTAACCAAGGGTCGAGGCAAGGGAAATAACCCATGCGGAAGGGGAAGATCATTCCCCGGATCATCTTCAGGATTGTCGTACGGATCCTCGTTGCACTCCCCGATTTTACAATGAGGAGGCATGAGCTTGATAAGCTCGAAAATATCTCAGAATATATCATCATCATCCGTACACTTGGAAGATATTCCGGAAAGTAGGCCATTATACACGGCGCTACGGGCATATTTATTGCAGAAGCAAAGTGATACTTTTGCCTCTATCGCTAAAGACGATGCTGATGATATCAAATCGTACGAACATGTAGCAAAAAAAGAAATGATATTTCTTTTAGAGAACTCTGAAATCCAGAGAAAAGACGAACCCTGGAGGATATTCCAGCTCTATTTGATTAACGAATTATATTTCCCGGGTGAGTCATACAAAAGTTGCTCTTATTATGAGACCATTTTTTGGGTTTTCAATAGTGTTTGAAGAACTAGCCTTGTTTAACTGTGAACTTAATAATTTTTTCACGCAAATTATTATCGGTAACTTCTTTCAGAAGTTCTAGCACGTTATCAGAAGTAATAGTATGAATGTTCATATCTTCAAATTAAGAATGTAATTTATAAAATTCATTATTTTCACAATAACAGATATCACCATGGCACTTGCAAGCATCTATAGTAGTTGGCTGGTTATTATCAGAGGACTCAAGTTGATCAACCTCATTTCCTCAACCTGATTCAGAATCGTAATCGGACTTAGAACCAGAGGTGTATAAGAAACTAAAGATCTTATCGTGAAACTCTTCATCTAGTTCTAAAGTTTTTAGTTTTTCAAGCTTACAATTGAGTACTATATGTCCAAACTTGCCACACTTGTAGCACTTGATCTTAGCAAGTTCTCGCCTAGACCTGTTCTTGGTAAATCTATTAGATTTACGATAAGCTTTTCGCTCTTGCCGTTCCTCCCTAGATCTTCGTCTAGACCTTATTTTCCTAAAAGGTTTATCAGGATTGGATTCTTTATTTTGCTTCGTCTGGCTATTAGCAGAAGTATTGGGTAATCCAAACTGGACACAAAAGTCTCCCAACTGAGATCTTTCTCGAAGCTTATCTATCTTAAGTTGCCTAGAAAGCTTTAATTTATTGCACAAGTTTATACTTTCCTAGGTACAAACTCCTATCAACTTGCCATAAGTATAAGTGTTGTAAGGAATTTCACCTTGAGGATTCCTTAGAGTTTTTCTAACTCTTTCAGCAAATAAAGAGGGCAATCCATCTATAAACTTAAGCTTTCTAATGCTCAAGACCATTTTTGGGTAGCTCCATTACCCGACTCATATAAGTATCTTTATACCATCGAAATTCTCCTAAATGCCTACAATGTATACCGTTTAACAGGGTATGAACAGTCTCATATTTATTGGTAAATCTACCATTGAAATGTTCTAAGATAGTTAAAACTAGGGTATAAACAATATCTTCCCTTTTTCTGACTAGAGCCATGCCCAAGTTATCAACACTTTCATTGTCTGCGATAGCATTTACCACAACAACTTTTTCCTCAAAGCTTATATAGTTATCCCAATAACCTCGGAGTTGGCCAGTAAAACCTGCAATTATCATTTTGCAAATATTTCTATCTGTATTTTTTACATTCTTACAGATAGTAGCATACATCAACATACGATGGACAAGAATAGTCAACTGTCTATCAGTTAACCCATCAAGATTCCATTCATATATTTCAGACCCACTGTAAGAGGTATTGGTCTGATTCCAGTCTCGTTCCTCTATTAGCACATCTTGAGGAGTTGGCCTGGAATAATAATAAGTTTGCATGTTGGTTTATGAGCAAACTGAGTATTACCATTATTTTTTTTTGGATAACCACGAAGTTTATTAAACTCTAATGCGACATGCTCTTTAAAATCAAAAGCTTGTTCCATTTCATCAGCAAAATTTTCTGACAAATCCATAGATTTAGCACTAAACTCAAAAAACTTTTTATTAAGAAGTTCTTCTAAATCAAATAGAGGTTTAAAAACAAAATCCTATATCTCAGTGGGTCGTTGCACATGAGTAGAAAGTTCTTAGTGCTGTTTTGACGTAGAAGCTTTTTCAAAAGGTTTTAAATCCATTTTAATCTGAATTATCAAAGCAGTTAGTTCATCTAACTTTTTATCAAGAGAACTTATATGTTCGCCCAAAACTTCAACATAAAGTCCCCAATAATTATTTTGAGAAATCAAATTATTAATTTCATTGATGTTGACTGCCGCAACATCTTCTTCAACAAATTTTTGAAAGGTAGTAAAAGTAATACCAGTATTATTTGGTAATATAAAAGATGTCTGAGGTGGATAAATAGCTTTGATAATATTACCTTATTCATCTTTATATGATCGTTCTAGGATGTTAATGAATAAAGGTAAATAGGTGGTTATAAACCAAGGTACAAAGAACATAATATGATTATGTAAAGCACAAGTTTCATAAAATTCTTGAGAAATATTATTTAGGTCATCAGCACTATAAGTGTCAAAAAACCAAGTTTTAAACCGATTCCATTTATCACTAGAAAATTCATTTTGAACATACTTCCTTGCCAGAGAACCTAGACTAAAATCTATCTGGTGTACGTCTATCATTAAGTATCATTAGGATTACAATCCATTTCGGATGCAGAAGGGATATCCTTATCAGAAATATCAAAAGATTTATCATTAGCTCGCACAATATTCAAGCGAGGATCAATTTTAATTTTATTTTTATCAACAGATATAATAGAAGATATGGTATGCAAAGAAGCAACACGATTACGAGCTGGACCATATAACAGTTCAACCGGTGAAATATGCTGGATAGCAAGCAATCTTTTATCAGAAAATGAATGTCTATTATAAGGAACACTCTTTTCATTAAACTAAATACAAATTTTTCCATCAGAATTTTGAGTAATATGAGAATATTCTGAATTAGTGACAACATCGGTCATCTGTTCATGAGATATAATAGAATCTAAAGTCCAAGTAGTTGGAAAATTAATTTCTTCCCATTTGATAGGTCTTCTAGTAGTGACCTTAGATTTAGTGAAATTTGTTTCAACTAAAATAGTTTGATCCGATGTATCATATAACTTACATCTTGGATTCAACGTAGCAAGTAGTTTATAATAGATCCGATAAGATAAACAAATCAATTCAGATCTAGGAACATAATTATAACCATGCGTTTTAACATTTAAAGTCAAAGCATATAAAATGTTAGAATCAGTCAAAGATAACTGCAAATTGGGCTGAGTATTAAAATATACTGGGCCATAAGCTACAGTGGATTCAATCGAACCCATCAAAGATTGTCGAAAATTCAAATTTCTATCATCATGAAGAGCAGCTAAAAATGTCTCAGGTAACCCTTTAAGAGTTAAAAGCTTAAAAGCGATTTGAACCATGCCAACATGCAAGAACTTATATTGCGATTTATATAAATCAATATCATACTTATTTAATAAACGGATGGTTTGTTCAGACGAGTTTAAAACTAGATTATTTAGTAGTTTTTATAAGTTGTTTATTAGAGATTTTATCAAACCAACCATAATCATAAATGATTTTTATATCAATTTTTGGAATAGTCCATTTGTTTAACAAATCAAGGTTTTGAGGTATATCTACCTCTTTCAATCGAGTACTTTTAGTACTTGTATCTCCTAGATCCATGATCTAGAGAATATATCTATGCCGAAATACTTCACATCAATCTCATATTTACCATGAAAGTTCTTAGGCTCTGATACCAACAAAACAGGATCTCAGAAGACGGGCAGTAGTCCGCACGGTCATCTTCAATCTAGCTTGTTAACATCTGAATTCAAGGAATAAATCCATATCAAAATATATACAAATTTTTATATAGTTTGATGACTGTATGGAAGGATCTGATCCTTTTACCCAAGCAAAGGGTCTGTCGAGATTCAAATACGTATTGTTAGTGAGCCCATGTATCTAGCAGTTCTAACCTGGTATAAGGCGCCATTTTAACTCCTTATCAGGTTGAGACCACGACTTGCTAGACGGAGTCACTAAGACAAAGGCCACTAACTTGTTGTATTGAATCTGACTGTGCCACCATCTCGGAACCAATTCAACAAACCATATATAAATTTATTTATATTTAGATAAATTCTAGATCTTTCATGGTAGATATAAAATTGAAGTTATTTAACCGACATAGAGATGAATCTTTTGATCGCACATAGTCACGACTCTAGATCGGAGAAAGATAAAAGATAACAGAAGGAAGAATTAAAATACCTTGTAACTATGGCCAACACCAGGGCCTATAAGAGAACTATCCATAATTTATTTACTTCCGGCTGAACTCCGGTAGACTGAACACTTTACAAACTAAGAAAGATTTACAGTAGAGAGAGAAAGTAGAGAGAGCTATGTGGTTTTTTATAACCTGCATATAAAGAAATGAAAGACAAACTTATTTATAGAAAATTAAAAAGACATAAGGTATCTTTGTACAGTAATAATGGGTTCCATCTGTCCCCTAAACAGTGTATTTATTGTTGATCAACAGTGTATCTATTGTTGATGTTGTATTGGAGCTGTAGAGAGGTTGATCCCTATTTTTCTTTTCCTTTTATTTTTCGAAGGAAATCTTCCGCCTTCTTCAGAGCATCTTCTGATACAGTTGCTTCAACAGGTTGAGCTTCTTGGATCTCATCTATAGCGTCTTCGCTGGTCTCACTTCTATGTTTGATTTCTCATATTGAGTGATGTTCAGAAGCAGACTTCTCTTGACTTTTTCCAAGTAGTTATTTATCATAGCTTCTTTATCTCCATCTTGAACAGAGATTTTTCTGGCAATGTGCCTGACCGAGCTATCAACAACTATTCCCTTTTGGGGAGAAATACCATACTCCTGAATTATTTTCGACATAAAATTCAGCAATTCTTGTCTATATAACGTTTTAGTCTTGGAATATTTTTTCATTAATTTGTCCCAGATATTGTTATAAAAGGTCATGTATAAGCAGGGAATTTGTTCCTCAGTGAATCCCACTTCTCGGGTCCATTTATGAATCCAAGGGACATAAAATTCGATGAAGAAATAAATCTGGTCTATTTTGTCCAGATAACAAATATGATTTGTGTTGTATAACTCGTTAAGATCTGGGGAAACTTTAATTCATTCTTTGTATAACTTTAGAAATGGATCCGATAATATTTTTATAGTCGGACCATGGTATGACCACCAGTTTAAAAACCAATTAGGAATTAGTCTTGCAAATATCTTTGCACAAATTTTAATAAACCAAGTATGCTTATGTCTCTCATTATTATAGTAGAGAACTTTATGAAAAGCATTAATATAGTCCCAATAGGTGAAATTCATAGGGGCTTTATTTAGGCTGATATGCCTTTCTTTCATTGTGGACATACCCCAATTTTCAATAGAAATAATCTGTTTAACAATCATCTTGGAGAAGTTATAAACATTCTCGATGGTGTTATATCCTGAGAAGTGCTGAAATTCAACACTACCAGTATTTATCAAAATGGTCTCTAATAAGATCGGATTTTGTATGACTCACCCAAGAAATATAATCCATTAATCAAGTATCGCTGGAATATCTTCCAGGGTTCTTCTTTTCTCTGGATTTCATAATTTTCTAAAAGAAATACCATTTCTTTCTTTGATACCTTTTCAAAAGATTAATATCATCAATTTCTTTTTTAGCTCTAGAGGCAAAAGTATCACTTTGCTTCTGAGACAAATATTCCCGTAGTAGAGCGTATAACGGGTTATTTTCTGGAGTATCTTCCAGATGTACTGAGAAGACGCCGTACTTTGAGAGTTTTTGGAGTTTAAGTTTATCAAACTCATTCCTCCTCTTTGTAGAATTGGGGAGTTAGAAGAGGATCCGTATGACGATCCTGAGGATGATCCTGGGGATGATCTTCCCCTTCCTCGTGGGTTATTGCCCCTACCTCAACCCTTGGTTACCTAAGGAGAGTCCATCCTGCATATAAAACACTTTGTTTTATTCGAATACCTCATAATATAAATCATAGTAATAACGATAATAATCGTCAAAAGCAATGATTTCTTCGATATTATGAATAGAGAAGATGTCCATCACCATATGATCTATAATTTTCCACAGGATAATTTCTTGTACGTCTGGATTGAGAGGAATCACTTTCAGTATAGTAACTTAAGTTTTATCAATAAAGAAGGGAGACAGAAAACTCATTGTGAAGATAGATATTTTCTAGATAAGAAATATGGAAGAGAGTTATCACTTCCCTTTTTATAATGAATTTCAAAATCAAAAGAAGCTAATTGGGCTTGCCACCTAGCAAAAATCAATTTTGATGCATCATGTTTAAAATTCTTATCAAACATATATTTCACAAATTGTGCATCGATTTTTATTAAAAACTTTTGATTATATAAATCATCTTGAAATTTTAATACGCATTTAACGATGGTAAACATTTCGTGAGCCACCGTAGCATATTTCTTCTGGGCATCGCTCCATTTTCCAGAATGAAATCTAATCAGGTATTCATTTTTGTCATGGGGATTGATTTGTTTTAATATTCCACCATAACCAATATTCGGCGCATCTGTCTCAATAATCTTTTGCCAAGCAGGGTTGGGAAGAGTTAAACAAGGTAAAGATTGAACACGAAGTTTAATATTCTTTATTAGAGTGGTGTGACTATCAGTCCAAGGTGATTTATGATCCTTTTGTAGCCTGTCATATAATGGAGCCAAATCTCGAGATAAGTTTTTGTAAAATGGAGATATATAATTCAAACTTCCCAAAAATCTTTGCAATTGAGTCCTGTCAGTAATAACGTCAGAAAACTTTGAAGCAAAGTCAAAGTCAATCGATTGTTGAATTGGCGTAACCTTCCCTTGACAAATAAGATGTCCTAAAAATCTTACATTAGTT